CAAGAGCGAGACCCCGTCTCTACTATAAATAGAAGAAATTAATTGGCAACGATATATATTAAAAAAAAAATTAGCCGGGCATAGTGGCGCATGCCTGTAGTCCAGCTACTCGGGAGGCTGAGGCAGGAGGATCACTGAGCCCAGGAGTTTGAGGTTGCTGTGAGCTAGGCTGACGCACGGCATCACTCTAGCCTGGACAACAAAACGAGACTCTGTCTCAAAAAAAAAAAAAAAGGGAGAGAAAATTTTTTTCAGTCATATAACTGCCTAGATATATTCATGTAATGAAATTAAATTTAAGTAAAATGAAGCTTGATTTATTGTAATGCCATTATTATAGTATCTGTATATCTATTTTTATTTATAGTTGTATAATGTAGGATATCAGGTATAAGATTCCTTAAATTGGAATAGATTGGGCTGTTTGGACAAAAATATTAATGATCTTGTTTGTTTTATAGTGAATAACTTTAGTTTTTGGTCAGTTGAAAACATTTAGGAAAAATAGTTTAAAATATGAAATCCGTTGATGTTATTTTCTGGGTTATGAGAAAAATAAAAAGATTAAAATGTGTCTAAGATTTAACTTATTTGACTTTAAAAATGTGAAAGTTTAATGCTCTTTTACTTGCATTTTTATATATTTCAGATGTTTGCCTATGAACTTAAGAGCAGAAGACTTAGCTAGTGGTATTCTCCGAGAAGGGTGAAATGTGGTGCAAGCTTGGCCGATGTTGATCCGATGAACATTGATAAATCAGTAGTTTATTTTTTCTTTTCTTTTTATCTTCTCTTTGTTCGGGGTCTTGCTCTTGCTCAGGCTGGTTTCGAACTCCTGACCTCGAGCAATCCGCCCGCCTCGGCCTCCCAGAGTGCTAGGATTACAGGCTTGAGCCACCACGCCTGGCCTACAATGTTTTTTTAAAAGCCGTTTGCTACTATAATAGTTTTAAGTATTTTATTCTCTTTAAATAGGAGAAAGAAGCATGCTATTCACAGTAGTGACACAACTTCTTCTGATGAAGAACGCTTTGAAAGAAGGAAATCAAAGAGCATGGCAAGAGCAAGAAATAGGTTAGTAAATGTTTTATTATTATTTCCATGATAGAAAAAAGGAAGAATAATTTTTGTTTTTGTATGAGTTTCTTATCTCTACTGGCACTTTGCTAACATTAGTATTCAACATACATTTTAGACTAAAGTAATGCAGAATAGACTTTTTTTTTTGAGACAGTCTCACTTTGTTGCCCAGGCTAGAGTGAGTGCCGTGGCGTCAGCCTAGCTCACAGCAACTTCAAACTCCTGGGCTCAAGTGATCCTGCTGCCTCAGCCTCCTGAGTAGTTGGAACTACAGGCATGTGCCACCATGCCCGGCTAATTTTTTCTATATATATATTTATTAGTTGGCCAATTAATTTCTTTCTATTTTTATACTAGAGATGGGGTCTTGCTCTTGCTCAGGCTGGTTTCGAACTCCTGACCTCGAGCAATCGGCCTGCCTCGGCCTCCTAGAGTGCTAGGATTACAGGCGTGAGCCACCACGCCTGGCCATACTTAGTAATTCTTAAAATAGAAATCTAACCTTGGCCAGTGCGGTGGCTCATGCCTGTAATCCTAGCACTCTGGGAGGCCGAGGCAGGCCGATTGCTCGAGGTCAGAAGTTCAAAACCAGCCTGAGCAAGAGCAAGACCCCATCTCTAGTATAAAAATAGAAAGAAATTAATTGGCCAACTAAAATATATAGAAAAAATTAGCCGGGCATGGTGGCACATGCCTGTAGTCCCAGCTACTTGGGAGGCTGAGGCAGGAGGATTGATTTAGCCCAGGAGTTTGAGGTTGCTGTGAGCTAGGCTGACACCATGGCACTCACCTTAGCTTGGGCAACAAAAGCGAGACTCTGTCTCAAAAAAAAAAGAAATCTAACCTTGGGAAATTTTACCAAAATTACTTATTCTGTAAGTACTTATAATAAAATAACGTGGAGAGGTAAAAAGAGCCAAGGGGAAGAGAGAGGCTAACCTATATGGGAGCATCTGTCTTTTCTTCCGTATTTCCTCTGTAATCCAAATTCATGTAATGAGGCTGATTTTAGATATTTATGATGATTACAATATAGCACTCAGAGTAACATATGATTTTTTTTTTTTTTTTTTTTTTTTGAGACAGAGTCTCATTCTGTTGTCTGGGCTAGAGTGCCGTGGCATCAGCCTAGCTCATAGCAACCTCAAACTCCTGGGCTCAAGTGATCCTCCTGCCTTGGCCTCCCGAGTAGCTGGGACTACAGGCATGCACTACCATCGCCAGGACAATTTTATACTGTTGTGTATATATTCATAATATAAAAAAAAAAAAAAAAAAAAAAAAAAATTAAAAAAAACTATATATAGTATATATATATATATTATTTTTTTTTTTTTTTTTGTCCAGCTAATTTCTATTTTTTTTTTTTTTTTTATTAGAGACTGGGTCTCACTCATGCTCAGGCTGGTCTGGAACTTCTGAGCACAAATGATCCATCCTCCGCCTGCCTTGACCTCCCAGAGTGCTAGGATTATAGGCATGAGCCACCACATCTGGCCAAGATATAGTTTCTAATAGAATTATCTCAAGAGCTCTTGGATTTTTGTTGGAAAAATTTGTTTTAATATTGGTTAATGAATGCCTCTGGTAATCTTTGCCTAACTAGAGTAAATGACTGGTTACTATGTGGCTCACTAAAACCTCCAAGAATTTTCACCAGAGGAGAGATTCTGTATTTGTCTAGTAAATAATCGGTGTTGAATATATCTGTTGTAGAAATACTAAGTTTTCAGTTAGCAAGTCTTGGAAATAAGTTGGATTGGTGTATACTATATGCTAAAAAGGAATTCCTTTGGCCAGTATGATGGCTCATACCTGTAATCCTAGCTCTTTGGGAGGTTGAGGCAGGAGCATTGCTTGAAGCAACAATTGAGACAGCCAGAGCAAGAGCAATACCTCATCTCTACAAAAATAGAAAAATGAGCTGGCCATGGTGGGATGCACCTATAGTTCCAGCCACTTGGGAGGCTGAGGCAGCCCAGGAGTTTAAGATTGCAGTGAGCTCTGATAGTGCCACTGCACTCTAGTCCAGGCAGCAGATCTAGACCAGTCTCAAAAAAAAGAAAGAAAAGATTCCTCTTGTGAATTATGGAAAGAAATGTAGAGAAAAATCTAAGTTTAAATAAAATAATTTAATGCATGTTTAATCTGAACTATTTTGTAACCTACTTTGGTGATATATATACATCTTTTTTTTTTTTGAGACAGAGTCTCTCTCTGTTGCCCGGGCTAGAGTGCCGTGGCATCAGGTTAGCTCACAGCAGCTCACACTCCTGGCTCAAGCAATCCTTCTGCTCAGCCTTCCAAGTAGTGGGACTGCAGGCACACGCCACCATGCCTGGCTAATTTTTTTCTATATATTTTTAGTTGGCCAATTAATTTGTTTCTATTTATGGTAGAGATGGGGTCTTGCTCTTGCTCAGGGGTCTCGCTCTTGCTCAGGCTGGTTTCGAACTCCTGACCTGTAGCAATCTACCTGCCTCGGCCCTCAGAGTGCTAGAATTACAGGCGTGAGCCACTGCGCCGGCCTTGGCGATTATATTTTAAGGTAAGTTAAGATTCAGGAATGTCAGCGAAGTTACAGTCTATCCTGGTGACAGAGCAAGACTCTTCAAAAAGAATAAAAGAGAAGTAGATTATATTTACTTAGGGGATAATAAAATTAAGTTATATAGTATTTAGGTAGCTGGAGATCTCTCTTGAGGTAATTACACAAAAGATAAAGCTTAATTCTCAAAATGTGATCTAAAATTGGTTTCCTTTGATCAAAAGGGAGAGAAGGCCGGGCGCTGTGGCTCACGCCTGTAATCCTAGCTCTTGGGAGGCCGAGGCAGGCGGATTGCTCAAGGTCAGGAGTTCAAAACCAGCCTGAGCAAGAGCGAGACCCCGTCTCTACTATAAATAGAAAGAAATTAATTGGCCAACTGATATATATATAAAAAAAAAAATTAGCCGGGCATAGTGGCGCATGCCTGTAGTCCCAGCTACTCGGGAGGCTGAGGCAGAAGGATCACTGGAGCCCAGGAGTTTGAGGTTGCTGTGAGCTAGGCTGACGCCGACGGCACTCACTCTAGCCTGGACAACAAAACGAGACTCTGTCTCAAAAAAAAAAAAAAAAAAGGGAGAGAAAATTTTTTTCAGTCATATAAACTGCCTAGATATATTCATGTAATGAAATTAAATTTAAGTAAAATGAAGCTTGATTTTATTGTAATGCCATTATTATAGTATCTGTATATCTATTTTTATTTTATAGTTGTATAATGTAGGATATCAGGTATAAGATTTCCTAAATTGGAATAGATTGGGCTGTTTGGACAAACATATTAATGATCTTGTTTGTTTTATTTAGTGAATAACTTTAGTTTTGGTCAGTTGAAAACAATTTAGGAAAAATAGTTTAAAATATGAAATCCGTTGATGTTATTTTCTGGGTTATGAGAAAAATAAAAAGATTAAAATGTGTCTAAGATTTAAACTTATTTTGACTTTAAAAATGTGAAAGTTTTAATGCTCTTTTACTTGCATTTTTTATATATTTCAGATGTTTGCCTATGAACTTAAGAGCAGAAGACTTAGCTAGTGGTATTCTCCGAGAACGGGTGAAAGTGGGTGCAAGCTTGGCCGATGTTGATCCGATGAACATTGATAAATCAGTAAGTTTATTTTTTTCTTTTCTTTTTTTTTTCTTCACAAACCTTGAGGTGCATCTTAAATCAGTAAGTTTAGTAAATGTTTTAAGTTTTTCCTTGTTTCTTTTTATTTTCTTTTTTTCTTTATGTTTTTTATTTTTACTTCTTCATTTTTTCTTTCATACTTCACTGGAATTTTATCATGAAGATTTCCTTGTTTCTAAAGCAGCCCATGGTAAAAGAATAAAATTCAGATATGAACAGTATGAATGTTTTGATGTATATATTTTGGAACCTAAGAACCCTGGTTACACATGGTTCTTAGGTTTTTTTCATTTCAGTGTTACAGGAATATGTAACAGTTAGGAAATGAAGCTTATAAGATTATGAAGGACAAGGCCTTATAAACCATGATACGTAAGGGGCTACTGTTGAAACTTCTTATTTAATAGTTTCATGATCAGATTTGTATTTGGTATAGATCACTCAGGCTATAATGTAGTTAATGAATTTGGGATAAGCAAGGCTAGCATTAGGGAGACTGGTTTAGATGTCATTGCAATCTAATTATCTGGAACAGTGGTCATGAGAGAAAGTAGGATAATGATGAAAAGAAGTAGATGAATTTGAGAGAATTGAGGATTGAATTCAGATGTGACAGAATTTGGTGAATTAATTGATTTTGGGGAATGAGAGTGAAAACTTTGAGGGTATGACCCAAGTTTCTAGCTTAAATGATTAGGTAGATAATGGATGAAGTAGATGGAAAATGGATGGCCCTATTCTCTGAGTAGGGAACATAAGAAGAGTATAAGTGTTTGAGGTGGGAAGATAATTTACTTAGTTGTAGACATGTTTTATGTGTCTGTGGTATATCACACATGTAAGTAACTTGTAGGCAGTTGTTTAGGCTAGGCATTAAGGAGAATATCAGATGTGGTCATCAAGATAAAGATTGTTGTCACTACAGAAAATGAATAATCATATCCAGGGAAGGTATCTATTAAATAGCATGAAAAGAGACATAGGATTCAGCAGACATGGTAGACTCTTTTTCACTGTTTAGTATCTTAATGATACTTTGGAATAAGGTTACTGTAAAACCAAGAACTTATTTGATATATTTTTTCTTTGTTCCCATAAATCTCTCAATACTACATAATTTAACTAATCCTCATATGATGTTTAAAGGAAGTTGTTGTTATTATTATTTTTTGAGACAGAGTCTCGCTTTGTTGTTTAGGCTAGAGTGAGTGCCGTGGCGTCAGCCTAGCTCACAGCAACCTCAAACTCCTGGGCTCGAGTGATCCTTCTGCCTCAGCCTCCCGAGTAGCTGGAACTACAGGCATGTGCCACCATGCCCGGCTAATTTTTTTTATATATATATCAGTTGGCCAATTAATTTCTTTCTATTTATGGTAGAGACGGGGTCTAGCTCTTGCTCAGGCTGGTTTTGAACTCCTGACCTTGAGCAATCCGCCCGCCTCGGCCTCCCAGAGAGCTAGGATTACAGGCGTGAGCCACTGCACTCGGCCAGGAAGTTATTATTAATAAACAGAGTTACATACATATTTGAAGATGAAATTTTAACTATCTCTAATCTGAAGTAATAGAGGAAATTATCTTATTAAGGAAAGAAATGTCAAAGCATTGAATATGCCCAGAATCCCATTTCTAATAGTACATTTTTTCTCAGAGGACCTTGCCCAATGATCATTGCTTATTTGTCTTACCAGCACTTTATTCAATCTAGTTAACATTAGACATCTTAGCTTAGTCAATTAGAGTAACTTATTTATTTAAAAATTGATATAATATATAAGAAAATTTAGCTTTTCTTAGAATGTTTCTGTTATTTAACCTGTGTTATTTTTCTAGTTTACTTAAGCTTTTCCTGGTATGTTGACATACTTCACTGTAAAACATTTTCAAGTACCATAGCAGAGTGAAGAAGCAGGAAAAGAGATCCCCTATAAACCAGTAATAGAGACAATCATGTTAACATTTTGGCAAAATTTCTTTCAAGCAGTTTTTACTTTACACTTTTTTTCTTTACAAAATGTTTTAGCTATTTAAATTATTATGGGTAGAAGAAACAATCTTTGTTGCCTCTTGTGATAGATCAGTGTTTCTTAAACCATTTTTTCATTGCTGTCTTGTAAGAAGAAAGATTAAAATTCTCGCTAATTAGAGAAATAAATACTAAAAATGAAATTTCATCAGGTAAGGTTGAGCTTCGGAGGGCCACAAACCATTATAATAGCTAAGATTTTCTTACCCTACCCCTGAATCAAATTTTGCCTCGTGGGGATGATACTGCCTGTTCTGAGAATCCATATACAAAAAAGTATATATTTTGAAAATCATTTAAACTGTTAAGAGTATGAATATAATATAACATCTCCTGTAGATACCGATTAAAGTTTTAGTTTGGGCATTGATGCTGGTCCTGAGTTACTGTATTAAAGAATGATAGCTTAATTAGGCCGAACTGAAATGTAAACTTGAATTTTACTGTTGACTTTATTGTTTTATATTTATTTGTAGTTCAGAAGCTCCTGCTGAAGGCATGTGTTTCTTCTAAATCATAAGACTATTTCATAAATACTTTAAAACTCTATAAAACATATAAAATTATTTTGTTTATTTATTTTTGTGTTCTACAGCTGAGGATCTCTAATAAACAATAAAATTATTTTAAATGAAACTTTCCTGCTTCTTTCCAAGGTGCGGTTTGATAGCATAGGTGGATTGAGTCATCATATTCATGCACTAAAGGAAATGGTAGTATTCCCACTTTTATACCCAGAAATTTTTGAAAAATTTAAAATTCAGCCTCCAAGGTAAGTAATGTCTCAGTTATTTATTATTACTATTTATCAAATTTTAATTGAGTAAATTATTACACATATAAATATTTCATATGTATTTATTTGATGTGTCCTAGCAATGACAATTAGGAATGAAATTTTTTTTTTTTTTTTTTGAATATGTCTATAATACCAGTAAGGAATGAAATTTTATTATTTAGGGCTCAGAGGCTTTGGAACCAAGTGTACTCTAGAAGTTTACATTTTAGGATATAGGAGTCAGGCATAAGATGAGATTCTTTATGTAGTCCCTGAATGTACAACTGGATTGCCAAAATGGATTTTCCTGAGTTAGGCTTCCTAATAGTATGGAGTTTGATGCTATATGTTGTTTAGTTTTAGAAGCACAATTTCATTGGAGTGTTTGTTTGACTTGATGATGGGTATTTTTGAAATAGGGTGAGCATGATAATTTTATTTTTATGAATATGTCTGATCATGAGGTGGCTAGCCATTGAACTGTTAGAAAAGGCTAAGAAATTATGTTAAAGGAGATTGGGCAGAATAAAATATTCTGAAGGTATACCTGATAAATGTCTGTATTCATTGAGGAGGCACTTTTTTTTTCTTACCTTTTTTTAAAATTCATCCCTAGAAGCAAGAGGAGGCACTTTTTATTTAGATTTGGTTCTAATTTATTTTCCATGTGCTTAAGGATATGGAAAAATCTTATCTTTATACATTTTTGTTTCTTTCTTTCTTTTCCTTTTTTTTTTTTTTTTAAGAGACAGGGTGTTGCTCTGTCACCCAGGCTGGAGTGCAGTGGTGCTCAATGTAACCCCAAACTCCTAGGTTCAAGCCATCCTTCTGCCTCAGCCTACCAAATAGCTAGGACTACAGGCACGTACCACAATGCCCAGCTAATTTTTTAAATTTTTTGTAGAGATAGGATGTTTTTGTTTGTTTTGTTTTTGAGACAGAGTCTTGCTCTGTTCCCTGGGCTAGAGTGCCTTGGCATCAGGCTAGCTCACAGCAACCTCAAACTCCTGGGCTCAAGGAATCCTTCTCCCTCAGCCACCTGAGTAGCTGGGACTACAGGCATGTGCCACCATGCCTGGCTAATTTTTTCTATATATTTTTAGTTGTGCTAATTTCTATTTTTAGTAGAGATGGGGGTCTCACTCTTGCTCAGGCTGGTCTTGAACTCCTGACCTTGAGTGATCCTCCCGCCTTGACCTAGAGTGCTATGCTAGGAGTACAGGTGTGAGCAACCACACCGGGCCTAGAGACAGGATCTTATTGTGTTGCCCAGGCCGGTCATAACTCTTGGCCTCAAGTGATCTTTCCGCCTTGATCTCTCGAAGCACTGGTGTTACAGGCGTGAGCCAACATGCCTGACTCTCTTTATATATTCTTTTAATTATTTCTATATGGTATATTCTAAGATGTGACATTTTTGGGTCATAGGGAAACACCTTTAAAATTTTGGTATATCTTGCCAAATTACTGTGTATTTTAACTATTTCTTGTCTACCAAAGCTTGATGCTTTGAGGACTTAGCAAGTGACACTTTGTCTATATGCTGGAAAAAGCTTTATCTCAGTGTCTAAGAATATAGTAAGACAAAATTATGTGGGAAGGAGGGATATCCTTTTAAATTAGTTATCAGTGGTGGTGATAACATTAATTTACTTCACTTTTTTGATTCTTTATTCCTCTAGGGGCTGTTTGTTTTATGGCCCTCCTGGCACTGGTAAAACCTTGGTTGCCAGAGCATTAGCTAATGAATGCAGTCAAGGAGACAAAAAAGTGGCTTTTTTTATGCGAAAAGGAGCAGATTGTTTGAGCAAATGGGTTGGTGAATCTGAAAGGCAACTGAGGCTTCTTTTTGACCAGGTAAGAATAATCAGCTAATTGGAGAATATCTTCTTTACCATATTTAATATGTTTAATCTGAAAGTACAAATTGTTTTTGAGGAGGCATATTGTCCAATCAGTATATTAAATTTAGGCTCAGTAATCTGAAATTGTATGCCTTATAGTTGTTTAATAGCAGTTTTACTAGTACTTTTGAATATTTATGATCATTCATAAAACATTTATTGAGATGCCTACCAGGGGTATAATGCTGTTAGGTGCTTTTGAGAACCCCAGATACTGCACATATATTGTTAGATTGTAATTCAGTTGAAGAGCAGAACTTGCTTAAATATGTTATATATCTGTGCCAGAAATCTCACAAAGCAATGTTATTCATTTTCACAAGTTGTAAATACAGTACAAGAATTCAGAAATAAGTGAATGCTTTTAAAAGGCAGAGTGAATATCATGTAGGCTATGTCTATTATTTATATGTAATAGTAACTTTAAAGATATTATTTCAGTGGCTGGGTGTGGCTTATACCTGTAATCCCAGCACTTTGGGAGGGTGAGGCAAGAGGATTGCTTGAGGCCAGTTGAGACCAGCCTGGACAACACAGTGAAACCCTGTCTCTATCAAAAAAATATATTTCCTATGTCTTATATTTTTTCTGATATAAATTCACTTTTGATTGAGCTAGTAAAGGAAGCTATTCATATTTGGCAATGTAATTTTTATTTGATTATGTCTGAGGAAATTCACATGAAATAGAAAATGCTTTCAACAAGCATTTATTGAACACCCATTACTGAGTTGGTGTGTAGGAAAGTCCTTTGCAATTGGTGAAGCACATCAATTAATATTTTAAAGTTATTATTAGTATCAAAAACTGCTTTGTTCTAGATAATGCATTTAGAGGAATAGATAAGAATTTTATCTTGAAGTTCAATGTCTAATGGCAAGTCAAAGATAATGCATTTAGAGGAATAGATAAGAATTTTATCTTGAAGTTCAATGTCTAATGGCAAGTCAAACATACGCAGTCTGAGTGCTTCAAGAGAATTTAAAAACAATTCAAAAATATAAATATAAAATAACATTGGTAGATGAGGGAAGAATTGGCTTGGGAATGCTGGCGTGTTGTTCAGTGACTTTGTTTTACATTTTTTAAACAATTTTTAGCCAATTCATACTGGGGTTAGGCATGTCTCTTGGTTTCATTTAAAACCATGGCGTAAACTATATTGTTTCTTTTATCTAAATTTATTTCTCTTTCATAGTTTTTTTGGTGAGTAGGAATAGTTAAAATGTATGCTTTCTTTTTTGAAAAAATTGCTGATGGTCATGATTTTTTATTTTTTATTTTTTTGAGACAGAGTCTCACTTTGTTGTCCAGGCTAGAGTGCCGTGGCGTCAGCCTAGCTCACAGCAACCTCAAACTCCTGGGCTTGAGTGATCCTTCTGCCTCAGCCTCCCGAGTAGCTGGGACTACAGGCATGCGCCACCATGCCCGGCTAATTTTTTATATATATATCAGTTGGCCAATTAATTTCTTTCTATTTATAGTAGAGACAGGGTCTCGCTCTTGCTCAGGCTGGTTTTGAACTCCTGACCTTGAGCAATCCGCCCGCCTCGGCCTCCCAAGAGCTAGGATTACAGGCGTGAGCCACAGCGCCCGGCCCATGATTTTTTAAATGAAAGATTCTACATTCCTAAATTAAAGACATGGCCTGTGCACTAAATGAAATGAAGATGATACAATGTATTTGCTAAGAGTGTGGGCTTTCGTGTCAGGAAAATGTTTGTTTATATCTGGCTTTAACATTAAGTATGTAACTTTAAGTAAATCAAAGTCTTTTTAGGAGCCTCTTCTGTGTAGTGGGGAAAATAATACCTGTCTCACTAAACTATTGTGAGATTTCACTGAGAGGAAATAAATAAAGTGCTTATCACAGTGACTGGCACATAATAAACTCTACTTCCTTTTTGCTGTTCTATGAGGTCATAGTTGTAAAAGATAGCTATTTGTTTAATGTATATAAAAATAATTATCAAATCTAATCTCTAATTTTGCAATTCTAGTTCTTTTATTTTTTTTTTCTAAGTCCACATTTTGTAGTGGCTCAGGCCTGTAATCCTAGCACCCTGGGAGGCCGAGGCGGGCAGATCGTTTGAGCTCAGGAGTTTGAGACCAGCCTGAGCAAGAGTGAGACCCTGTCTTTACTAAAAAAATAGAAAGAAATTAGCTGGACAGCTAAAAATATATAGAAAAAATTAGCCAGGCATGGTGGTTCATGCGTTGTAGTCCCAGCTACTCAGGAGGCTAAGGCAGGAGTATTGCTTCAGCTTAGGAGTTTGAGGTTGCTGTGAGCGAGGCTGATGCCATGGCATTCTAGCCTGGACAATGGAGTGTGACTCTGTTTCAAAAAAAAAGAAAACACTGGAAGTTTAATACGTATTGTATCAGGGAGAAATGGAAAATTCATATCTATTCCTTAGCAAGCTGACCTTCCTGTAAACCAAGAATTTGCTTTATAGTAATTTTGAACATAAATTATGTTAATTTGAGTAAATTATATGATAAAAAACTTTTCATTTATAATCTAATAGTCATTCACTTTAAATTGTTCCTGCTAGATTTAATATATACACGAGAAAAATGACTCTCTGAAAGTACGAGAAGAAAACGGGAGAATTTTGTTTATAACCACACAGTAGAAAGGGTCTAACTGGGAAAGATAAGAGGTGGTACATGTTTTTTTTTTTTTTTTTTGGTTTTTTTTTTTTAAAGAGACAAGGTCTCACTCTGTCGACCAGGGTAGAGTACAGTGGTGTCATCATAGCTCATGACATCCATGAATTCCTGGGCTCAAGCAATCCTCCTGTCTTAGTCTCTTGAGTAGCTGGGACTACAGCCACATGGCACCATGGCTGGCTAATTTTTTCATTTTTGTTAGAGACAGGATCTTGCTATTTTGCCCAGGCTGGTTTGAGATCCTGGCCTCAAGTGATACTCCTGTCTTGGTCCCACAGAACTAGGATTATAGGGGCGGGCCACTATGCCTGGCCAAATTTTTTTTTTAAGATTCTACATGGCAACAACATACCATGTTTCCCTGAAAATAAGACAGGGTTTTATATTTATTTTTCTTCAAGAAGACACCCTAGGGCTTATTTTCAGGGGATGTGTTATTTTCCCCTCAGAGCCTCAGCTTGCAGCATGCACAGGATGGCCGGGACCTGACAGAGGGAGCTGACCTTGTTGGTGGGGCTGCTCGCACCTTTCGGGTCACCTTTGGGATAGTACCTGTCACAATGGGGCAGATGAGAAGGGCTGCTCGTCGTCTTTACCGCTCTGCAATGAAATGCATGGGTTGTGTAGATATGCTGTGTAGGCACGCCCATCACTAGGTCTTATTTTGGGGGTAGGGCTTATATTGCGCAAATGCTTAGAAATCCTGCTAGGGCTTATTTTATGTGTAGGTCTTATTTTCAGGGAAACATGGTATCTATCTTAGTCTATTTTGTGCTGTAATAATAGACTACCACAGTCTGGGTAATTTATGATGAACAGAAATTTATTGGCTCACAGTTCTGGAGGCTAAGAAGTCCAGTATCAAGGTGCTGGCATCTGGTTAGTGTCTTCTTGCTCTGTCATAACATAATAAACACATCACATAACCAAAGGGCAGAGAGAGACAGGGAGAGAATGCACGAAATGGAGGTTAACCTACTAGCCACAATAAAGAATTTACCCCCTTGATAACAGCATCAGTCCTTTAATGAGGGTGGAGCCTTCATGACCTAAACACCTCTTAAAGGTCCCACCTCCCAATGTCATCTCAATGGCAATTAAATTTCAACATTTCAGTGTGAGTTTTAGAGGGGACAGACATTCAAACCATAGCAACACCAAGCCAAATGATAAGGGATACTCCTTGAGAAAAATATTTGCGTTTCCTTTCACTTACAAAGGGCTAATCTATGAAATAAATAGCTCCCAGAACTCAGTAAGCAAAAGACCAGTGACATAGTGAAGTATTAGGCAAATTATATGAATAGAAAGAACTTTCATGGAAAAAGCAATATAAATGATTCTTAAACATGTAAAACATGCTTGTCTTCACTGGTAAGAGAAATAAGAATTAACACTAAAATGAGATAATATTCTTCATTGAAAAAATTTAGCAAAGACCAATCAGTTTGATAATACATTGTTGATGAGCACCCTTAAATATTGCTGGTTGGAGGGTAAATTGGTACATCAGTGGAAGGTAGTTTGCAAATATCTAACTAGATCAGAAATGACACGTGCCTTTTGAACCAGTAGTTTAACTTTTAGAATTTACTATATTGATATGTTTATACTCATATGAAATGATAAATACAATTATCTATAATTATTTATTATAGCATTGTTGGTAATAGGAAAATATTGAAAACAGCCTAAATATCCGTAAAAAGGTGACTGGTTTAATTATGGCATGTCTGTATCATAGGACATGATATAGCTGTTAAAAAACAATGAGGCAGATCTTTATGTCCTTATGTGGAAGCTAATTAAGATATTGTGTTATGTAAAAAAGACTGTTATATGGTGAAAAGAATGTGTATAATGTGCTATCATTTGTGTTTAAAACACACTTTGCTTTGTGTGTGTAAATATATTTGGAAGAATAAACAGTTGCTTAATGGGTGAAGACCTTGTTGGAGACTGGGGTTATGGGATTTCCTTTTTATAATACTACGTGCTCTTTCATACCTGCTGCATGTTGTCTGATTTACTTGTATATACTATTAAGAAAATACAATACATTTTAAAAATGAAAACTAATATCATAACATTTGTTTTCTTTTTACTAGGCATATTTGATGAGACCTTCTATAATATTTTTTGATGAAATAGATGGATTAGCTCCAGTTCGCTCTAGCAGACAAGATCAGATCCATAGGTAATTTTTCCTAATCTGATTATGTTGGGTTCTTTTTACTCATTGACATAGTATTTAGCCTTATCCCTTGGCTAAGTGTTAAGAGGCTTACAAAGAATTTTAAAATGCAATCTGTGCCTGTGAGGAATATTTCTTTCACTTAGCACAGGGGTCAGCAAACCATAGCATGTGGGTCAAATCTCAGCCTATGCTTGTTTTTTTTTTTGAGACAGAGTCTCACTTTGTTGCCCAGGCTAGAGTGAGTGCCGTGGCGTCAGCCTAGTTCACAGCAACCTCAAACTCCTGGGCTTAAGCGATCCTCCTGCCTCAGCCTCCCGAGTAGCTGGGACTACAGGCATGCACCACCATGCCCGGCTAATTTTTGTATATATTTTTAGTTGGCCAATTAATTTCTTTCTATTTATAGTAGAGACGGGGTCTTGCTCTTGCTCAGGCTGGTTTCGAACTCCTGGCCTCGAGCAATCCGCCCGCCTCGGCCTCCCAGAGTGCTAGGATTATAGGCGTGAGCCACAGCGCCCGGCCCTCTGCCTGTTTTTATAAGAAGTTATATTGGACCACAGACATGTTCATTCTTTAAGCATTGTCTGTGGTTGCTTTTGTGCTACAAGAGCTGAGTTGAGTAGTTGTGACAGAGTGCTAGGATTACAGGTGTGAGCCACCACTCCTGACCTGCTAAAATTTCTAGATGATATAATTATGTATATGGAAATTCCAAAGCAATCTGTAGGTAGATGCTAGCAAGTTTGGACCAATCAGTATAAATCTAAATTTTGTGTTTCTTTGTACCAGTAATTGTGTAAAAATGGAAGTTAACCATTTATAATTTCATTCAAAAAGAGAAGTTACCAAGAGTAAGGGTAACAAAAGTCCCACATTACATCTATGGTAGAAAATAATAAAGTGTATTGAAAAACATTAATGAAAGATTAAATAAATGAGAAATACCAGTTCTTGATTTGGAAGACTATTTTTAAATTGTCTTTTCTCCCACATTAATGAATAGATTCAGCATAATCCCATTCAGAATCACAACTTTTTTGGGGGTGAACTTGACAAAATGACTCTGAAATTTATATAGAAATACAGAGGGTTAAGAATAGTGAAGACTCTGTTCTGTTGTGGGCTTTTAAAATAAAAAAAGGAAAAGAGAAGAGTAGTGAAGACTTTTGTGGAAAGAACAAGGTAGGAGGACTTGCTTTATTGGATATTAAGGCCTCTTAGAGTTAAGAACATTTTTTTTTTTTTTTTTTTTTTTTTTTTTTTGCTTTTGTTGCTTAGGCTAGAGTGAGTGCCGTGGGAGCTAACAGCTGTGCCTAAGGCTGCAGCACCTGGGCTCCAGCGATCCTTCTGCCTCAGCCTCCCAAGTAGCTGGGACACAGGCATGTGCTACCATGCCTGGCTAATTTTTTATATATATATCAGTTGGCCAATTTTTCCTTTCTCTTTATAGTAGAGACGGGGTCTCGCTCAGGCTGGTTGAACTCCTGACCTTGAGCAATCCGCCCGCCTCGGCCTCCCAGAGAGCTAGGATTACAGGCGTGAGCCACCGCGCCCGGCCAAGTTAAGAACATTTGATATTGGTGGAATAGTAGACTAATGGAACAAAGCCTAGAGCCATAAATAAATCCACACATATATAGATTCTTGATTTATGATAAAAGATGCTGTTGGGAAAGGATGACCTTTTCTATAAATAATGCTAGAAAAATTGGATATCTTTTTGGTGAAAAAAAAAAAGAAAAACCAGACCTCTTTTTATACTATATAAAACAATTTCATTTGGATTTTAGCTTTTTATTTGAAAGGTAAAACAACACTTTTAGAAGATAATGTTAGGAGAGTGAGTTTGGGCAAGTAGGCCTTGAATATCATGTCAAGTAGTTTGGGCTTTATTTTTAGCATAGTAGGGGTTACTAAAGGATTTTGATTCAGGGGCTGGTCATTCAGATTTTTTTTAAAGACAACTTTCAGTAGAATTTAAGTTAGATTGTAATTGTGTTTATGGTCATGTTTGAAACTATCATCTGAAAACTCTTCTACTGCAAAACCCTTAAATATGCTGATAAATTCCAACAAACACTTGAAATGTCTATTTGTGATTAGAAGATACTAAGGAAAATTTTGAGATTAAATATGAACTTCTACTTAAGGATTCTTATTCTCCCCACGCCCTTTATATCTTTTTTTTTTTTGAGACACAGTCTCTCTCTGTTACCTGGGCTAGAGTGCTGTGGCATCGGCCTCGCTCACAGCAACCTCAAGCTCCTGGGCTCAGGTGATCCTCCTGCCTCAGCCTCCCAAGTAGCTGGGACTACAGGCATGCGCCACTGTGCCCAGCTAATTTTTTTTTTCTATTTTTAGTTGTTTGGTCAATTTCTTTCTATTTATAGTAGAGATGGGGTGTCGCTCTTGCTCAGGCTGGTCTCGAACTCCTGAGCTTAAGCAATCCTCCCAGAGTGCTCCCTCCTACTCTGCCTCCCAGAGTGCTAGGATTACAGGTGTGAGCCACTGTGCCCAGCCCCTTTATATCTCGAGTGAGATACTTAGGTCATTAATTTTCAATTTAGAAAAGAAGAATTAGAAATCTTCCCTTCACACATATATTGGGTATCTAGCATTTTGGTTCCATTTATAGATTTTGGAAACATAGCTAGAATAGTGTGTTTGGGAGGAAGAATGATTTCTTTAACATGTTGAGCATATTGGAGAAGTTATTTCAGGCAGGTGTTAGCAGTAAGAGTAAAGGAATAGAAATGAGAGCAGTTGGAAAACACTAGAAGGGACATTGTTACTAGAACTGTGGTTTCTGTTATAATTAGATATGAAACATTTTAATTCAGAAATGTTTAAGTTATATTTTTAGAAACCCACTCTAAAATATGCACACACAATAATTTTGAGTTGAACCTAAAAGGTAGCCATTCTAAAGAAATTGTCTAAAAGTATAACAATAATGCAAATGTGATAGAGTAGAAATTAAAGATCATATAAATTTCCAGACATAAAACAACTCCCAACATTGCTATCTATTAAAAAGATTATTATAGTTTTTCTTTGATAAAAAACATCTTTATTGAGATACATCTCACAGCTGTACAGTTCACTCATTTAAACTCTATAGTTCAGTGACTTTCAGTTTATTCACAGAATTGTGTTACCATCACTCTAGTTAATTTTAAAATATTTTCATCACCCCAAAAACCTTGTACCCTTTCTTTAGCTGCTACTCCCAACATTCTCCTCGTATTCCCAAGCTTTATGCAACCTTTTATCTCCTTTCTGTTTCTGCAGATTTGCCTATTGTGGTATCTCATTTGGTTTGATTTGCATATGCCTAATGACTATTAATATGGTTTTTGGAGAAATGGCTATATACAGTTTTTGCATATTTTAAAATTTGATTATTTGTGTAGTTTAGTTGTAATAGTTTATTATATATTCTGGACCCTTAGACCCTTATCAAATATATGATTTATAAATATTTTGTCCTTTTTTAGGTTCTCTTTTTCCTTTTTTATGAGACAGAGTCTCACTTTGTTGCCTAGGCTAGAGTGAGTGCCGTGGCATCAGCCTAGCTCATAGCAACCTCAAACTCCTGGGCTCAAGCGATCCTCTGCCTCAGCCTCCCAAGTAGCTGGGACACAGGCATGTGCTACCATGCCTGGCTAATTTTTTCTATATATATTAGTTGGCCAATTAATTTCTTTATATTTATAGTAGAGACGGGGTCTTGCTCAGGCTGGTTTCGAACTCCTGACCTCGAGCAATCCGCCCGCCTGGGCCTCTCAGAGTGCTAGGATTACAGGCGTGAGCCACCGCGCCCGGCCCTTTTTTTTTTTTTTTTTTTTTTTTTTTAAAAGAAGTGAGGTCTTGCTCTTTCACCCAGGCTGGAATGTAGTGGCACGATCTCAACTTACTACAGCCTTGAAATCCTGGGCTCAAGCCATCCTGCTGCCCTCAGCCTCCTCAATAGCTGGGATTATAGGTGCAAGCCACCCTTGCCTACCTGTCTTTTTACTTTTTTAATAGTGCTCTTTTGAAACAGGAAAGTTTTTGATTTTGATGGCCTATTTTGTCATTTATTTATTTATTTATTGGTTGTTATGCTAGTATATTTTTTTGGTACTTTTGAAAATAATTTTTGTAAATCACTTGATCTTGCATTAAGATGTAATCATGCTATAATTTATTAGCATTTAAGACTGATAAAAAGCTATTATAAGCAGCAATGTTTACAATGTTTTCTTTCTTTTTTCAACTTTTAATTTTTCCTAAAAATTTTTTTTACAGTTCTATAGTATCAACCCTTCTTGCTCTTATGGATGGATTAGATAATAGGGGTGAAATAGTTGTTATTGGTGCTACAAATAGACTTGATTCTATAGATCCTGCACTCAGGAGACCTGGTCGTTTTGACAGAGAATTCCTTTTCAACCTGCCTGATCAAAAGGTAAGAGTTGTTGTTTTCAATAATACTAAATTTATATGTAATTCAATTTTAAGGCTTATATACTCCGAGCATGATATTTTATGAATTTTCATTGTTCTAATTTTGTGCTTATGGAATATCTTAGTTAATTCTTAAAAAACTTTATGTAATGAATACTTTTTTTCTATTAACAATGATAAGAAAGTTTATGATTGTTAGCAAGTAAAAGGAAAGTTCTTGATTAGGTTACTATAGATGTTTACTTGCTTCAATTCTCCACATGTGGTAATTACCTTGTATCACCAGTTATGTGCTCTAATTACCCAAAGTAGCTTTGTTCCCATAAACATAATATTTTTGTTGACTATTGGTGGGTTTATGAAGAAAGACTCAGTACCTACATTTTCATATAAATAACTATAATATCATATTTAATTAAAAGTAGCAAACGTTATTCAGTATGGTATAAAGTTTTAAAAAGAATGTATTATTCCAGCCTAAGCAAGAATAAGACCCTGTCCCTATAGAAAATAGGAAAATTAGCTGGGCATGGTGGCACGTACCTATAATCCCAGCTATACTCAGGAGGCTGGGGCAGGAAGATTGATGAGCCCAGGAGTTTGAGGTTGCCGTGAGCCATGATGAGGCTACTGCACTCCAGCCTGGGCCACAGAGTAAGACTCTGATTCCAAAAAAATATATGTATATTATTAAGATAGGGCAAAGTATAGTTATTGATTGTGTAAAATGTTATTTAATATGATATACAAAGTCCTTTTATCCTAATTCTGCTTGATATTTTTATTGTTTTTCTTGGTTTGACCAGTTTAATTTTTGGTTCTTCATTGGAAACTCAAGTTTAAGAGGTAGAGAAGTGTGCAGAAGAGATACTGTGTATGAGTATATATTGTTATATGGCTTTGATCTTAGATCTCTATGTGAAATGCCTGGTTTATATGCACAGATATGAAAAGGCTTAGCGATTAGGACCAAAGGGAATGGCTCCTCTGTGTAGAACAATTAATACTTCAATTTGACGTCAGTCTGCATAGCCACCAGTAGTTGACTCAAATGTGACAATCCAGTGTATAGGCTTTAAATTGGCACTAGGTTTACATAGCTTTGTCAGGACAGGAGACATAACACATACACCACCATTTGCACTGCCCACATGCAGCTTCCAGGAATGTATCATTGCATAGAGGTGTGTTTAGTTGTAGGAGACAGGGCTGAAGTGTACAGTCTCATTCAGCATGGAGAAGCATCAGCTTTCTTGTTTAGAACATCTAACAATGGTTCACAGCTTTTAGACTCTTTCAGTACACGAGGGGTGGTGGAGAATGTGCTTAGTTCTAAGCACAGGAAAGCCATTTCCTTGATTTCCCAATTGTCTTCTGTATTGTCCTAGTCAAGTATGCCTCAGGGTCTGTATGCCACCTAGAGCCTTCACAGTCCAGGCTCAGTCCACATAAATCAGGGGTTTAACATTAAACAAGGTTCAGAACAGCACCGTTTAATAGAATTTTCTGTGATGATGGAAATGTTCTCCATTTGCATTATCCACTGAGCAATGACTAGTATGATAACCACTAGCCACAGGTGGCTCTCGAGCACTTAAAATGTGGCTAGTACAACTAAGGAACTGCATTTAAAATTTTATTTTGCCTTAGTTAATTTAAAATGAAATAAAATGGAATTATGTGACTAGTGGCTTACTATGTTGTATAGTGTGGATCTGAAACATAGTTTTCCACATGAATTTTACCTTTACTGTATGTATATATGTATGTATGGATGGACAGAGTCTCACTCTGTTGCCCGGGCTAGAGTACCTTGGCGTCAGCCTAGCTCGCAGCAACTTCAAACTCCTGTGCTTAAGTGATCCTCCTGCCTCAGCTTCCCGAGTATCTAGGACTATAGGCATGCACCACCATGCCTGGCTAATCTATCTATCTATCTGTCTGTCTGTCTGTCTATCTATCTATCTTTCTTAGTTGTCCAGCTAATTTCTTTCTATTTTTTTTCTTTAGTAGAGATGGGGTCTCCCTCTTGCTCAGGCAGGTCTCGGACTTCTGAGTTCAAATGATCCTCTCGCCTCGGCCTCCCAGAGTGCTAGGATTATAGGCATGAGCCACCATGGCTGAAATTTATCTTTCTAACATTTCAAGGAAACTGTGCTGTGAGATTGAAATGTAAGATCATTTTTTCAGGCCTGGGCTTCTGTAAAAAGACCTATGCTGGCAGACTGCTTTCCCTTTAATTAGTATTTAAGGTCATGAGACTAAATGAGATTACTAAGCCTTCTGTTTTACAGAGTACTCACTAAGGTAAAAGGAGAAAACTAAGAGAGTAGGGTGTTTTGGAAGCCAAGTAAAGAAAGTGTATCAGTGAAGAGTGTGATTAACTATATCACATGTTGCTAAGTCATGCCAGATAAGGACAGAAAATTGGCCATTATATTTAGCATTACATAGGTCATCAGTAAACTTGATGAGAACAGTTTCAGTTAGTGGTGGGTACAAAAGCTTGACTGGAGTAGGGTTAGTTCGAGAAAGAGGCCGAACGTGATGGCTCACAAGAGCGAGACCCCATCTCTACTATAAAGAGAAAGAAATTAATTGGCCAACTAATATATGTAGAAAAAATTAGCCGAGCATGGTGGCACATGCCTGTAGTCCCAGCTACTCGGGAGGCTGAGGCAGCGGGATTGCTTGAGCTCCCCAGGAGTTTGAGGTTGCTGTGAGCTAGGCTGATGCCACGGCATTCACTCTGTTGCCTGGGCAACAAAGCGAGACTCTGTCTCAAAAAAACCACAAAAAACAAAAAACCTTGCTGCTAATTCACATGTAGGTTGAGATGGATTCGCTTCCACTATAGCTTTCAGTTCCTCATTATCCATCCACTTGGTCTCTGGTCACCCACGTAGCTCATTTTCAAGATTACAGTCACCAGAACAGAACTTTCAAACCATTGACTTACTGAGCCTTCATTGGCCACATCCTTCCCAAACACTTCACTGATATTTCAGACTGTCTGTGCTATACTGGTTCTACGACAGAGCTCATACTCAAAAATAACATGAATTTATGATTTATCCATGGTTTCATAAACATTTCTGTAAAAAAAATTTGAAAGATAATCACAAGCCAAACCATGTGTTTGAAAGACTGAGGATGTACCTTCACAATAAAAAGAAAACAAGAAGTGTCAGAGATATCAACTGTCAAACTTAATGCTTAAGGAAATCAAACATTTCATATGACCTAATGTTTCTTTTGGAAACTAACTTCATACTTTTTAAGAATCTGTTCAGGCAGATACTTCTCGTTAGAAGAAAATAAATATCTTATCATTGCTTTGATTTTTGCAGCTAAAAGCCTGAGAACTTTCAATTGAAATTCTAGGTATTAATTCCATATTTTGTCAACTTTGAACAAAAATTATCTTGAAGACTTTGAAAATTTTTTTGTTGTGTTGTTATTGGACCCCAAATTTCTTATCAAACCAGTAAGATATTACTATCTTGGTTATAATTTGCTTTTTCATGGTTTAAGAAGCTCAGGTAGCTTGTTTTGGGGGGAACAAACCATATTCGGTTTTTTAAAAGTCTTGCATTTTCCCTCAAAAGAAGGTAAATGTGAAAAAAAATTCCAATCTGTCTCTGTGGTGATAACAACAGCTGATTATGTATTCTTATACCTCAGTGCTTTTTTTTTTTTTTTTTTTTAAAATACTGTTTTAGAAAAAGAATTTGTTTGTTTTAGAACCAAGATGTTAAAATTTTGATTATGCTGTCTAGTCAGCTTTAAGCTAGAGAATGGTATTGTGAAAAAAAGTCAATGTAAAAAAAATTGTTTAAACCTTTGATTTTTCAATGAATTTGATTAATATTTATTCTTATATATTAATATTATAGATTAATAATTTGTTATATATTAAATGCAAAAGCATCAGTAACTTACAAGGTAATAATGTGCATGGTATTTCTCAATTGAAATTCAAACAATTTTTTCAAGTTTAAATTACTTGTCATTTTGCTCATTGTCAATAATAATACCGTATACATCTGAAACAACTAAAAATTCTAGGAAATTTAAATATAAATTTGTTTAAAAGTTATAACATATTAAGGTTTTTTGTTCATATGTCTGCAAACGGTAAGAATGATATGGTGGAAAAGTGAAACTTAGTTTTGAATTCTAGTCCCAGATAAGTGCTACTATTCAGGTTCCTTCATCTCTTAGAACATTAAATGTCTTAGCTGTGTAACAGAGAGAAGATGACTACTGGGTATCTCCAGGCTTATTGTTGGAATCAGAGTTGATGTAGATACTAAGATGTTTACATTTCATTTAAATAATTGTTTTTCTGGGATATGGTTAGTTAAAATTTGTTCCAGCTAATACATTTGAGGCATTGATAATATTTATCTGTACTTTTCTTCTTAAGCAAGATTTTGTATATATCTGTATTTTTCTTTTTAGGCAAGAAAACACATCTTACAGATCCATACCAGGGACTGGAATCCAAAATTGTCAGATGCTTTTTTAGGTGAATTGGCTGAAAAATGTGTTGGTAAGTACTACTCATTGAATTCTTTGATTGTTGTTGTTTGTTCTGCTCAGCCTCCCTTTTCCCTTATGTGTGGAATGTGAATGAATATAGTTATGTCTTTGTATGATAGATGACTCTCCCTTTATTTTTAAAATTTGTTTTTAATATTTCACTTAAAGTTTGAACACTTAAATTAGAATTTTAACTGCCATTAGGTGTTTGATTAACAAAGCTTAGTGGTAATACGCCTTTCATTAAGTGTTGGATATCTATGATATTAATACAGTATCTCCTTTTAGGAATCGTTCCCTCTTAGAAATTTTGCTAAGAAAAATAAGCTTAAACTTGAGAAAGAAAGGTCCACATCAAATGTAAGACTGCAGTCTTTTACTTTGCAGATCACACAGTGGGCTCATCTTCATTCCTTTTTTAGACCTAAAAAAGATTGAGTGGGAGGGGTCTTGAAAGAAAATACTTGCATGATATTTAGTAATATTTCCCAAAATATAAAACTTTCCAATTTAATTTTAAATTCTTCACAGAGTGGAAGATCTCCTCGCGGAGTTAATGACCACTACTGTCCTAAAAAGATGTGGTGAGAACAATTAGATACACAGATGATCACACATGGAAGATAGAATTCAGGGTTTTGGTTCTAAATTAGGTCTGAAATAAAAAGGGATACAATATGAAGTAACTAAATATATATACAAGTATTTTTCCTTCAGTCTTTTTCCCTTTTTTGTCTCTTTTCCTCTCATTCTCTCAAAAATACAAATAAAAAAACCCTATCTTCATGAACCTTTTTAGGCATTATGAAGAAATCCCCCAAGTAAGTCGACACACAGCAGCCCTCTTGGGAAAACTTTAAAGTTACCAAAACCAAAAACAACATCTTAGTTAAAAAATAATCATTGTGATCCACCATCCAATAATTAAAACTTAAATAGAACATTAGTCCATTCAGTTAGCTACATCCGAATTATCCTCTTCATCCACAGGGACCTCCATCTCTGAAGCAGCATCCCTCAGCTTTTGAACCACAAAGACCTCGACATCTTCTGGTGAGGAGAAAACGTAAATCTCTCTAGCACTATTCCAGTTTAAGCTTTGCCTGGTATAAGAGAGCATGCGCCAAACACATTTCATGTAAATTTGGCTTGACCTTTGCAAAGCCCTGTGCTGCTTTATGGGAGAGGGTGGTATTTGGTATAAAATCTAATCTTTTCCCTTTTTGAAATTTGACCCCTTTTATTTTTGATAATGTATTAGAGTTCAGATTAGACTGGAAAATCTTTGTAGATTCTTCTGTGAGCTTGTCACAGAACAATCCTTAGCTGAAATAAGCAGAAGTCTTCAAATAATTTTGGAAATTCCCTAACAGATAGGTATTTTAAATTACTCTATATTACCCTAGCTGTCATCTGAAATATTATACACTCCAGTTTAATTCTTTATCCCAAATATTATAATCTTAGTTTTCTTTTGCATTTCCAAAGGTCAGTACTTTCATTTTTCTACATGATACATATTAGTTTTTAGGTAATTTCTTAAGTTTTAAAATTTTAGTGATATAATTTTTTACAGGCCTGAACAATTTCTCTTGCCTCTTTTTCCCTGGTGGGGTAGCAGTTATGTGTGTAGAATCTGCTTATATACCATTTTCTTCCTGGATAATGACATAAAAAGCCATTATAATTAAATGTCTTCTATTTTTGGTTGTGACATTTATTCCATCTGAGAAACTAGTAACGTAAACTAGAAACGTAGCTTACGTTTACGTTTAAGGAAAAATCAAATGCAGGTCTTCAAACAGGAATGAAATAGTAAAAAATTTTAAATCCATTATGAACTCACCAATTTATGTATCCCAAACATGTTTTAACATGTATGGGTTCATTTCAGTGAAATGTATGCCTAATTCTACAGTATCAAGTCTTGAACAACTGCAAAGATAGCTGACCTTTTGTTAGAGGTTATGGATTTGGTAACTTTCACCTTGAAATAAATTCCCAAGCACTTGGAGGTTTTTGCATGCATACGGGGTGTGATTTTTAAGTAATGAAAAACTCAGCATACATTGGTATTAAGAACATTTGCACAAATGGTAAGAACTTATGATTAATGAAGAGCTCAACCCTAATAGTATTTCTCTATTCCATTTTCAATGAGAGGGCTAGAACAATGAAAGTGTATCAATGAAATGTCTATCTTTTAGGACTTCATGATATTTGATGCTGTACTTTAAAAATTAATTTCATAAAGTTTTGTTATGACATCGTTTCTAGTCTAACCTCTATAATAGCTGTATTTTCAGTCAGAAAAACTTCTCTTAACAATATTCAAGAATGCTCTTTCTTTGATATCAAGATATTTGTGTTCAGCAGTTATTAAAATTGTAATGATAGAATTAGTGTCATTATAAAAGGGATGTTTATAATTTCTTTAATATTAACTTTTAACTCTTAAAAGGATATTTTAATATTACTAGAATGATCATATTTATTTTCAAAACCAGGACCCTTTTGAGAATGAAAAGGTATGCTATCAATTATGACAGGAATAGAAACCTAACTAGGACATGTGGTCTCCCTAAGTATAACCCATTTAGCCATGGTTATGGGACACTTTTAGTTCCTTCTTAGAGTCTAGTAAAGGAAGTATATTAAGTTTGTAGTTCTCAATATTTTTTGTGTATCAAAATACCTTCTAAAGCTTTTTCAAATTTAAAATCCCCAGAAATTATGATTCTCTAAGTTTGTTGTGGGTCTTAGGAATTTTTTTTTTTGTTTCGGTTTCATGGTTTATTCAGATGGATGTTCAAGTTGAGAACCATAGTAATTCTTAGTTTCAAGCCAATGTAAAGAATATATTTCCTTTCTTTTATAGTCTGTTGGTTATGATAATTCATGTGAAAATCTTCATTAAATGGGGTATATTGTTGATAAACTAAAGTAAATGAGGAAAAAATGAATAATACATTGCTGTTATGTATGTAGCATGTTATCATGCTATTTATCAGGCAAATAGAAATGTTGTAACATTTACTATAATACCTAAAATGTCTTTTATTGGCTATTAATTTTTGTTTTGCCTTAATTGGTTCTGAGCTTTCTTTTGTTTTTTTAAACGTAGGCGTTTGTGTTTAATAGGACCGTATTAGTATGTTCATTAACTGTATATATACTTTTATAAAAAGGAAAGGTGGTTATTTTGTTTGAAGATGGTAGTTTATTCTGTATTTCTTCTGATATGGAGGGCAGAATTCACATGCTTTTTAATCATATCTTCAGATTATTTTGTTAACTATAATGTGGAGCTTGTGTTCTATACAATGTTGAACTAAGGTAACAAACAGATCTCTATGCTAAAGGAAAAGATTCTTTTTCAGGTTTATTCTTTGAGAAATAGAAAATAAAACGAAGGATTAGTGATAAATCTGGTTATTCTGAAGAATTATTTGGCAGATAGATTCTTGTCATGGGATGGTGTTATTGCTTAATCTGTTTATAGTTTTCTGAATTAAGTTCTTCCAGGTCATATTAAGTTTTTTCCTGACTTTGAATAAATTCTCCTTTGTAATCATTTTTATTTCAGTATTTAACTGTTCCATAAGGTGGTTGTGAGGTATAAAAAGATAAATAAGCCTAATATTGTTCCTTGAGGGGCTTAGGGTCTAATGTTCTATAAGTAGTTCAAATGGTTCCCCCTGCTTGCATAACTAATAAAGATGGCCAAATATAAGTTTAATTGCTGATATAAGAGATAGCATATGGCTGTTTTGAGTTTTTCTTCCTTTTTGTGACAGAGACCCAATAATTCATACATTTTTCTATGTACTTGATACTCAGATGAATGAAATGACTTAAAAGCACTGGGGGATTGATCTGTTGTTTAACTGCATAATCCATTAAATGTGGGTAATGGATAATATGCCATGTTGGTATAACCCTTGCAACTAGATTATCAGTCATTTAAAGTTAGACAAAGAACATTAGTGTGGAAAACCAATGGAAATATTTTTTAACATTCTTATTTCCTTTAATACCTTTAGAACTATCAGAAATGAATTAAAATTTTAAATTTTGGAGGTAATTGGATATTAATTTGGTAGTGGATTACTCTCAGAGTTGGTAGAATAGCTCTCTTTTTGAAGTTTCTGCTTCTGCCGACTTGGTACTATTTTATATGTGTTTAGAAGTTAATAATAGTGGAAACAATAATTTATAGTTGAGTGTAATGTCATGAGGACTAACCTAATAATTGGGAATATTGATGAAGTATTGAAACAAAACTATTGTTTTAAAATCTTTTCTGCCGGGTGTGGTGGCTCATGCCTGTAATCCTAGCACTTTGGGAGGAGTCTGAGGAGGGAGGATTGCTTGCTGGCCTGGAGTTTGAGACCAGCCTGAGCAACATAGTGAGAACCCCATCTCTATAAAAAAAAGAAAAATTAGCTGGGCATGATAGCACGTGTCTATAGTCACAGCTACTCAGGAGGCTGAGGCAGAAGGATTGCTTGAGCCCAGGAGTTTGAGGTTGCATGCAGTGAGCTGTGATGGTGCTACTTCACTCTAGCCTGGGCAACAGAGTGAGACCCTGTCTCAGGGATTAAAACAAAAAACAAACAAACAAAAAAGTCTCCTGAAGAAAGTTGCACATTGTAATCAGTGATTTTGACACATAAAACTTGGCTTGTTTTGTTTTAATATTGTTAGTTCATATTTTATTAATTTAAAATACTCAAAACATTTTTAATTTTAATAAGTATTTAGCCCTTAATTCAACCATTTTGTTAGGTTATTTTAAATTGTCACTTTTCATTTTGCTGATAAAATTACACATAATTACTGCGTTAGTATTGATTATTACTTTGAATAAATATGTTTATATTCACAAACGTAGTTGGTACATGGAAAAATGCACTCACATCTGTTATTCTTCTCCTTTTTTGTATTAGGCTACTGTGGAGCTGACATCAAGGCCCTGTGCACTGAAGCTGCCCTGATTGCCCTGCGGAGGCGTTATCCCCAGATCTATGCGAGTAGTCACAAATTGCAGCTGGATGTTTCCTCAATAGTGCTCAGTGCCCAGGATTTTTACCATGCAATGCAGAATATTGTCCCTGCTTCCCAACGTGCTGTGATGTCTTCAGGACATGCACTATCCCCCATCATAAGGCCACTGCTGGAAAGAAGCTTCAACAACATCCTAGCCGTCTTGCAAAAAGTGTTTCCTCATGCTGAAATTAGTCAGAGTGACAAGAAAGAAGGTACTACTATAAACTACTTTTTCATATTGTTAAAATGAAACAAATACAGGCATAATCTTCCTTTTAATGTTATTTGTATTTGCCACAAATATATAAAATATATCTATTTCACTTACTACTATATATTCCAGGCTTGGCATTTTGCCTGGCATATGGTAATTGCCTGGTGAATGTTTATAAAATGAATGAATGTTTGTTTACTCTTGGGACATTCGGACTATCTTAATGTAAGGCCATTATTATTTTTAGAATGTTGACTATAATAATAATAGCTTACATTTACTATTATAAAGCCCTTCCATAAATTGTCATTTATTAATCCTCATAACAGTACCTGTGGGTAGGTACTCTAATTATATAAAAGAGGAGACTGGAAGACATAGGCTGTTAATTTAGTTTATATTAATACAAAGTTACTCAGTAAGTTCTGGGGCTTGCCCCAACCCAGGGAGTCTGACTCCAGAACTCATGCTCTTACCTGTGTTGCTATATTGGTTTTCTGGATTCAACTCATCAGATATTTTGTTGTTAATGACAGGGCACTCTGTAGTGTGCTGTGCTGATTGGAGTATAAGCTGTTGGTAGGGGAGTGAATACGAACCTAGTGTAGAGGGTCTTAAATTATGTTAGGCCTCAAGATTGTACTTTGGACCAGAACTAAAAGCAGAAAACTGCCTTTAAAAACATTACTTACAGGAAAAACTTTAAGGTGACATGCTAATCAAACTAAAGCCTATGAACTTTGAAGGGAAAGTAATGTTTTTTTTTTGTTTTTTTTTTCTGAGACAGGGTCTCTGTCACCTGGGCTAGAGTGCAGTGGCGTCATTATAGTTCACTGCAACCCAAAACTACTGGGCCCATGCGATCCTCCTATCTCACCCTCCTGAGTAATTGACACTACAGGCGTGTGCCACCACACCCAGCCAATTTTTCTCCTTTTTGTAGAGATGGGATCTCACTCTTGCTCAGGCTGGTCTCAGACTCCTGACCTCAAGCAATCCTGCCTTGGTCTCCGAAAGTGCTGGGATTACAGGCATGAGCCACCATGCCTGGCCAGTGTCTTTTGATTATTTTAATTTGCCTAGTACCTCGTTTGTATGTAGTTTATACCAAATAGAAAACTATTCAGAGAATTATACTAACATTAAAAATATTTATAGTAAAAATCATGAATATTGTTTATGAATTTTGCTGTCATTATAAATATATTTTTCAGAAACTTTAATTTTTTAGTGACAGACTCACATGACAATACTACTTAATTTCTTAAATTTGACAGATAAGGGAAAGAAACAAATATTTCACTGAGTATGAGCCAGGCATTATGCTGTGAATGGTATACTTCTTTTTTTTTTTTTTTTTTTTTTTGGAGACAGAGTCTCACTTGTTGCCCAGGCTAGAGTGAGTGCCGTGGCGTCATCCTAGCTCACAGCAACCTCAAACTCCTGGGCTCAAGCGATCCTCCTGCCTCAGCCTCCCGAGTAGCTGGGACTACAGGCATGCGCCACCATGCCCGGCTAATTTTTTCTATATATATTAGTTGGCCAATTAATTTCTTTCTATTTATAGTAGAGACGGGGTCTTGCTCTTGCTCAGGCTGGTTTCGAACTCCTGACCTTGAGCAATCCGCCCGTCTCGGCCTCCCAGAGAGCTAGGATTACAGGCCTGAATGGTATACTTCTTATTCCTGATTTTCATAACTAGGAAATGTATCTTTTCCCAAAATTTCCCCCCAAATTTACTTTAGAAAATCATAAAAGCCTCATCTTCTCTTCTGGGACATTATAATAGCCCTTTATCTCCATTTGTGAATCACAATTTTATGTCATTGTTATTAATATCTATGTTGTCTTATAACTTTATTCCATAAGTATAAAGTATGGTTTAGTTCCAAGTAGTGGAACTAGATAAGAACAAGTGTGAGAAGAGGAACCGAATTTAATTTGATTATTAATAATTGCTTTTTAGTTATTTAGTCATTCTGGCTTATTTTGGTCTGTAATATTTTTCTTAGACAACTATCCTTGTATATGAAATTATCACTCAAAAAGTCCTCAGTTATTTTCCAGGTTAACTATTTTATTTCATTTTATTTTTATTTCATAGATTTCGGGGGTAAGAGTGTTTTTTGTTACATGGATGAATTGTATAATGCTGAAATGTCAGGGCTTTTAGTGTACCTGTCATCAGAATAGCATACATTGTACCTTCTAGCAGGTTAATTTTTTTTTTTTTTTTTTTTTTTGAGACTGAGTCTCACTCTGTTGCCCCAGCTAGAGTACTGTGGCATTAGCCTAGCCCACAGCAACCTCAAACTCCTGGGCTCAAGGAATCCTTCTACCTCAGCCTCTGGAGTAGCTGGGACTCCAGGCATGCACCACTATGCCTGGCTAATTTTTTCTATTTTTGGTAGAGAGTGGGAGTCTCACTCTTGCTCGGGCTGGTCTCGAACTCCTGAGCTCAAGTTCCAGCCGCCTGCATCGGCCTCCCAGAGTGCTAGGATTATAGGCGTGAGCCACCACGCCCGGCCTAGCAGGTTAAGTTTTAAACTATTAGTTGTATAAAATATTTGACTTTTAAAAGCTACTGAGATCTTTGTCTGCTAGCACAATTCAGTGTCTCATTTTAGAAAGCATCCCTCTATTTTTTCTCATGGTTTGTTTTGGAAGATTTCTGTTAATCTTAATACTCTTCTGTGGTCCCTAAAACTTATAGCATTGCTTTTTATCAAATGGATTGTCACTTTTAATAGACATGTGTGAAGTTTAGTTGTTTATACTTCAGGTAAGGTTTTAAGTGTTGTACTCTCAAGTAGGTATTTTAGTTCCAGTTAGTCCACTGAGGCTCATAGAACAATGCTACTTGAGTGACTGAGTTTTTAAGGTGAGCTATGACTCAATTCCTGACTCCATCTTAACTAGACTAAGTTTTCTTTGAAAAGGTGTATGTCATTTAAAATATAAGGGTCAGTTTGTTCCTTGTTGCTTTTGTAAGAACTGGTCTTGGACTCAGCTACTCTATAAATTAAACCAAATATGAATTGGATAGGTTTTGGTCAAAGGGTTTTGGTCAGAGATTTTTAGCGAGTAGAGATTTAATGAGAGTGCCTCTTCTTTTCCAGACTTATGTTGGTTAGTTAGTAAAGTCTTCTAAATTATATCTCATAACACTTAGCAGAAATGGTCTGTAAAGGTGAGAAAATTGTATTAATTTCTTTCTTTTTTGGGGGGACAAGATCTCACTTTGTTGCCCAGGCTGGAGTGCAGTAGTGTAATCACAGCTCACTGCAACCTCCAACTCCTGGGCTCAGGTGATTCTCCTGGCTCAGCACACATCCCCCTTCCCACCCTCTGTCAGTAGCTGGGACTACAGGTGTGCACCATTGCACCCAACTAATTTTTTTTAAGAGATAGGGTCTCACTCTGCTGCCCATTCTGGTCTTGAACCCCTGGCGTGAAGTGATTCTCCCACCTTGGCCTCCCAAATGTGAGCCACCACACCTTGCCTAATTTTATTTATAAATTATTCAAAGTGCTATAGTTTGTCAGCTTACCTGGTCAATCTATATTATTTGATAGATAACTTAATAGTTAATGTCACTTGATTTTTAACCCAATTTTCCTTCACTTGGTAGGAAACTAATATTAAATGACTTTATAAGCCTCATAACCTTTGTGATTTTTTTTTTGAACAGACATAGAAACTCTAATTTTAGATGATAGTGAAGATGAAAATGCTTTATCAATTTTTGAAACCAGTTGTCACTCAGGATCACCAAAGAAACAGTCATCAGCTGCTGCTATACATAAACCTTACCTTCATTTTACAATGTGAGTAATTTATCTTGAATTTCTTTCAATTTAGTGTGATTATTTGATGCTTTTTAGTTAGAATTATAGTATATTTTTACTTATGGTTATAATCTTGAGGACTTTGTTTTTCTGTTTAAACACAACCCTGGAAAACTTTTACTGTGTATACATTTTTGTGTGGTAATTTGGTCAACTAATTAAGTTCCGTTTCCCCAAGTGAAGAATCTTGTCTACTTACTTACTTTTTAAAAAGTGATTGTGTGAGTGTGTGTGTTTGTGTGTGTAAGCAGGGAAAGGATTACCTTTAGAAAGTCAACCAATGGGCCCTAAGTTCATTGCTTTTTATTTAAAGTAAAATGGACAGAGATGAATATTTAATGTGATCTCGAGTACTTTAATGTATAATAATTTTCAGATGATAATTTATGAGTAGTCTTTAGGACTACTAAAGAGATTGAATTAGAAATTGTTCAGTAATTGAACAAATAACTTTTTTTTTTTTTATTTTGGAGACAAGAGTCTCGCTTTGTTGCCCAGGCTAGAGTGAGTGCTGTGGTGTCAACCTAGCATCACCAGGCACCTCAACAACCTGGGCTCAGCTAGTCCTGTCTGCCTCACGCCTCGCCGAGTAGCTGGGACGCCATACGGCCACTGCGCCACCCTCATGCCGTCGGACCTAATTTGTATATATATACTACTAAGTATTGCATCTAATTCTTCTCTTTCTCTTTTTTTCTTTTCTGTTTGAGCACGAGTCCTCCTCTTGTTGTCCCGCAGCTGCTAGCAGTGAGCTCGCGTGGCGCTCACTAGCTCACAGCAACCTCCCAAACCTCCTGGACGTCCAGTATCCTCTGCCTCAGCTCCAAGTAGGCTGGGTACTACAGGCCATGCACACACCATCCCCCGCCGCTCCGATTTCTTCCTTCTATATGCTATCCTGCTGGCTTGCGCCTAGCTCATCATTATTTCTATTTATAGCTGCGACCGGGTCTCGCTCCATGCTCCAGCGGCTGTCCCCGTTCCGGAATCTCGATCCAGCAATCCTGCCCTCGATCCCAGACCGGCTAGCATCGACCACAACGGGCTCGAGCGCCCCTCCGCCCTGCGCCAAAAAAACATTTTTGATTCTCTAAGACCTCAATTCAGTGGCGGGCGCCCCGGTGGCCTTACGCCAGTCGAATCCTGAACTCTGGAGGGGCGACGGTGGGTGGATTGCTCGAGGTCAGGAGTCTTTCAGCAAACGTAGCCTGAGCAGCGAGCCATTAGACCGTCTCTACTAGTAAGACGTAGCAAAGAATCAATTAATTGCAGCTATATGCATGCCTAGACAAAAAATTAGCCCGGCCGCATCGGTGCACATGGCGCTGTCAGTCCAGACTACTTGCGGAGGCCTCGAGGCAGCAGAATTGTAGCCCAGGAGTTTCGAGGTTGGCTGTGAGCTAGGCTGACACCAGCAGCCAGCTAGCACCTAGCCTGGGGAACAAAGCAAGACTCTGTCTCAAAAAAAAAAAAAACTTCATTAGTTTACACTTTTGCAATTTGGATTTTTATGATTTTTCTATTTACATTTACCTTTTAGTAAAAAGGTAAATGTAAATAGTTATCTGTTAAAGCAGTTTTTTCTGCGTACTATAATGGGTAAAAACTTTTAGTGTAAATGTAATTTTAAATTAAGAGACCAAATAGTTTTCAAATACTAATAGCATCTTTACTTGCATTTACATAATTAGCACCATAGTTGAAGGACCATAAAGTTCCAGTTAGGTAGGTCTAATAACATTTCTATTAGAAGTACTATATTATATGCACTTTTTTTTTTTTTTTTTTTTTGAGACAGAGTCTCACTTTGTTGTCCAGGCTAGAGTGAGTGCCGTGGCGTCAGCCTAGCTCACAGCAACCTCAAACTCCTGGGCTCGAGTGATCCTTCTGCCTCAGCCTCCCGAGTAGCTGGGACTACAGGCATGCGCCACTATGCCCGGCTAATTTTTTTTATACATATATATCAGTTGGCCAATTAATTTCTTTCTGTTTATAGTAGAGACGGGGTCTCGCTCTTGCTCAGGCTGGTTTTGAACTCCTGACCTTGAGCAATCCGCCCGCCTCGGCCTCCCAAGAGCTAGGATTACAGGCGTGAGCCACAGCGCCCGGCCTTTATATGCACTTTTAAGTAATTTTTTAAAGAGGTATTTTGAGAAATTTAAATCATCAACTTGAAGTCTTCCCATGTAGATTTTGGTGAAATGTTGGCTTGATTATTTGCATTGATAGCCCTTTCTTGTTTTTCATTTTTTACAAATGAGGTTACATTACTTTCTTCTTTTTTCTTCATGTGTTTTTTAACAGCAAGCTTTTCTGTTAGGAAGGTTTTTCTTCTTCTCCAGATCCTTTCTTTTATGCTCTGAGGGAAGTGTTTTATAGACTGTCCTAGCATTTTACAGATCTGTTTTATTGATAGTTATGAGAAAGCCAATTTTTTTTTTTTTTTTTTTTTTTTTTACCTTTCACCTGGCTAGCTTGTCTGTGTATGTAGTAATATGTTTGTGTGTATGTGTGTGTTGTTGGACATTTTTAGTTATTTTGATTGGAATTATGTAATTGTTTTTATTGAGAACATTCCCTGCCATTCTCTTTAATGTGTGAGACTGGTCTGGCTCATTTTGTTTTAGCTCTTCTGAAAGCATTGGTTTAATTTTAGCTTCCTTTATGTAAGCTTTTCTAGTTCATTGATTTCACTTTGACTTAATAGTGAGGCACCTATAATTTAGAATAATCTGTTTTTCTTTTTGAATGCTTCAATAATATTCATTTATCTCTTTGTTCACTCCCACTCATTTATCTGATTTTTGTTTACTGTATGCCAGGCATTGTAGTAGGTGCTGAAAACACAACCACGAATAAGATATAACAGTTCTTTCTTTGGAGAAGTTCTTGTTATTGGGGATAACAAACATTGTTATATATCTAAAGTTCTATAAAAGCAGAACTAATTCTGTTGAAAAGTCAGGAAGTATTCACAGAAGAAATAATGAAATTTGCTATCCTTTTGAGTATGAAGGTATTAGAGTTAGCATCTGAGTGTTTATTACAAAGTAGATGTGTGCTATATATGTATAGATCCATGCTTCATATACAGTAATATGTATAGGTCACTCAATAATCATATAGCATTTGTGGTATCATCATTTTGTAGATGAGGAAACTAAAGCACACAGAAATTAAGTAGGTTCCCCTGATCATGAACTAACAGGTGGCAGAACAGGCTCTCTGCTGTTTGTTTCTTGGGATTATATTTTTTCCCAATTGATTTCTGAGCTTTAATAGGTAGATAAGGAATTATATTGCTTCTTTAGGTAAGTCAGACAATGATTTTTCACATTCTTTAAGAAGCATACACTTTAGGTCAGGCGCAGTGGCTCACGCCTGTGATCCTAGCACTCTGGGAGGCCGAGGTGGGCGGATTGCTCAAGGTCAGGAGTTTGAAACCAGCCTGAGCAAGAGTGAGACCCTGTCTCTACTAAAAAAATAGAAAGAAATTAATTGGCCAACTAAAAATATATAGAAAAAATTAGCCGAGCATGGTGGCACATGCCTGTAGTCCCAGCTACTCGGGAGGCTGAGGCAGGATTGCTTGAGCCCAGGAGTTTGAGATTGCTGTGAGCTAGGCTGGCACCAGGGCACTCTAGCCTGGGCATCAGAGTGAGACTCTGTCTCAAAAAAAAAAAAAAAAAAGCATACACTTTAAACAATTTCAGTGAGGGCTGCACATAGTCTTTTTTGTTTGGTTGGTTTAGTTTCTGCCTATGCAACATGTGTTAACATGCCAGTTCAATGCAGAAAAAGGTACTAGGCAAGAAGAAATCATGACTTTAGTGTTGGTCATGCTAGCCTGGGCATTGCTGGTAGGTTTCTGGGAATTGTCTGCTGAAATGACATTGAAACGATTTTTTTTTTTAAAGATTTAAGATAAAGTAGAAATCAAGATAGTTAAGTTCTGCCAATCTGGTAGAGAAGTCTTATGATGGAAAATAAGTTTTCTTTCTTAATTTATATTACCATAAAGAGATTAGAAACAGAGCTTTCTGAGGTTTTTCCAAATGAAAATAGCTTTGTTTTTTCTGAATAGAAAGGTGGTATACTCTGTAGAAAATTCAAGTAATAAAGAAGAACATAAGAAAGTAAAAATTAAAGCCTCAGAACCTGAAGGTAATATTTGTTAAAGTTTTGGTGACCACACTTCCATGTTCTCTTTATGCATATAGGTAGACTCACACATTATTTTATATACATTATATCTTCCTATAAGTTGTTAATGTAATTTGCTTTTTTATCTGATATTTTAGGAATGTTATTTCATGTTAGCATATGTTTAATATCATTCTTTTAAGATAGCTGCATAGTTTCTCATATTTTGGATGTTCCATACTTTATAGAATCTTACTGATAAAAATTGAAGTTTTTAAGTTTCCTCTTTTATAAACAGTGCGGTGATAGACATCTTTCTAAATATACATTTTTATACTATTACCTGATCTAGAACTTAAGGTAAATTTTCACAACTGTGGTTGTGGTGTCAAGGGTATATACGTTTAAAACCTTGATACTGGTTGTTAAGTTGCCTTCCAAAAGGCTTGTGCCAGTTTATATTTCCAACTCTAATGTATGAGAGTGCTATTTTTTCTATACCTTTGTCAATTCTGAGCACTGTTTGTCTTTTTAAATCTTTACCAACCAGATAGAAGAAAATAATATCTTCTTGTTTGTTAAAATCATTTATTTGTTCTTTCATATATTTATTTACTCATTCAGATACTTTGTGAAAGTGCCCAGCATGCTCTAGACATCATCCTAGGTTGTTGAGACATGTCAGTGAACAAAATGGACTAAGATCCTAGCTCTCATTGAACTTACATTTTAGACAGAAGAGAAAAGACAATAAAATAATTATTGTAGTAGCTAGTTAGCTACATAAAGTGTCAGAAGGTAAGTACTATAGAAGAAAATGTAGAGAATGGTAAGAG